GTCCACAATAAATACGATGGTAAAAGTTACAAGTGCCAGTTTAGATGTGAATAGTTCATCAAAGCAGCGACCTAAAAGATAACCTTGATGATGCTGAGTGAGTGAGTTAGAGTTGAGTTACTTGAAAAACTAAAGTGAAACTTGATTTATTCTATTGCAGGGTCTGATTATTATATTGTTGACACTTTAAAATACTACTATCCTACTAAAATACTGTACAAATCAGATTTATTATTTAATAAAGAAAAAAAATTAAAGTAAAAAAAAAAAAAAACACATTTTTTTCTTTATTTTTCAATATCGCGATAAATATCGTACCGTGGACTTTTTATCGCGATATTATCGTACCGTGACTTTTTGGTATCGTTACATCCCTACTATTTTGTAAATGTTTGTTTGACGACTCAATCTCTCACACTTATTATAAAATAATATCTTTATTTTTTCTACTAGAGCTGAGGAGATGTTCCTGATGGTGGGGGAGGTCTCGGAGAAGGTCATCTTCATTCATGACAGCCTGTCGGAGCTGGACTCTCAGCTGGGTCAGCTCCAGGACCTTTCTGCTCTGGCTGTGGACACCATCACTCTGCTCTCTGCGTCTGACAGCCTGCACCAGGAGGCCCGCCTGGCTCAATGTCGAGTCATCACATCGTCCCCGCTTATCCTCCCTCACAGCTTGACCCTCCCACACAGAGGTGGAGCAGACCTTGATGCACTTAATATGTGTCGAGTGATGCCCAAGTCGTGTAAAAGTACCCTGCCTTCTTTGCTGAAGGGCCATGGCCTTGTGGCGAGTAGACTGGCATCCCAGGAGAGCAGGGGAGGCAGACAAGGACACACTGAGAAGGGAGAGGAAGAAGCAAAGCAGGTACTTACGGTGTGCATTTAATAATACAAGCTCATGTAGGAAGTGAAAGAAAACAACAAACGTGGAATTCAACCCTAGCAGTACACTTTATAAAAACAAAACAATCACATCATTAATATATTGAAACATTTTGTTTAAAAATATACTTCATCCACAAAATGACCATTTGTCAATAAATGACTCACCCTGTGTTACCTTGAATGTAGAAGATAATTTAGATTTTGCTGTTAGAAGTGCCCCCCCCATTTACTTCAATTCATCAAGACTTTTCTCTGTTGTTGAATGATTAGTTCTCTGATAAGTTCAAAAAACAAGGTTACACAGGAGTAATTATTCTAACATTTTTATTTTTGTGAGAATTATTCTTTACCGTCTGTTTTCCCTCAGGATCCACAGACTGCTCCTGCTCAACGTCCGCCTGAGAACGACCTGGGAGTTTCTAAACCGGCGTCTCTTTCTTCCTTCTCTCACCTCTATGGAGGCGGAGTTAATCTGGGTAGATTGAGGGATCAGACCCCCTGTGAGTCAATCGGACCGCCGCACTGCGGGTCTCCTCTTGCTCCCAGAGGCCTGGAGTCACCGCATCATAAACTCTCGACATGTGACCCATACCTGTATCGCAGTCAAGAAGAACCTTACGTGGAAGAGGAGGAAGAAGAGGGAGAAGGAGAGGAGGAAAGGACACATGAACAACTCTCTAATATAGAAGTATCCAGGGGATCTAGCAACGCTGTCCTTCTGTCTGACCCACGAGAAGTCTCTGAGGGTTTGGTGAATCCCGCCTTTTCTCTGGACGTTAGCCAACCGAGTTCTCGGCCCAGACCTTACAGCCAGTGGGGCCGACCTGTGAAATCTTCCAGGTGGGCGTGTCTGTCCAGAGACCGTCCCTACGGGTACTGCAGGTCTCTGTCCTCCAGCGTGGAGAACATGACTTTCTCAGGCGCACCTCAGAGACGAAGGAGGGGGTCATTCCCTACTCTAGACGAACCAATCAGCAAAGAGAGTCTGTCTGATGGGAGGAGGTTTAGTGATGAAACATCGCTACGAAGCAGTATGAGCAGAGGTAACGTCGTTTGTAATGCAAGTTTCTAATTGTTCAAGTGGACGGTTTGAAACAAAAGAATAAGAAATGACTCATAAATCTTCACCATTAGCATGCATGGAATGTACATCGGTTTGTTACAAAACTTGTTGGACTTTCCATTATTATAGACAGGGCCCTTGGATATAAACAAATACAAACATTACACTGATAACAAATCTGGGTGTGCTTTATTTCTACTTATGTGTACTGAATTGGATTTGTGATATCAATTTTGCAGAGTGGTCCAAGTCATCTGACTTCCTTCAAGACTGCAGAGGCAAAAACCAGAACAAGAAGACAGTGAAGATACAAGAGAGCGCTCCAAACACGGTCAGAAATTCACAACAATCCGCTCAGACAGCTCAGTAATACACAACATGTTACATAGATCATCAAACCCTGCTAATCTTTTTGTTTTATAATTTCTGACTCTTTATTTCTTGGGAAAAATGGCTAACCATGCAGTCCCATTTGTCTGAGACCTGCTGGAGAAGGGGCCGAAGATTTAGAGGAGAATCTACATGTTGGTTGGCTTCAACCAGCCTCAATCAGCTCAGTAAGTCACTGCTGTCACATATTAGTAATTAGTAATCTTTATTTATTTATATAGCACATTTATTTATATAGCACATTTAAAGTATAGTAATACTTTAAAGTGGACCTATCATGCTATATTTGAATAATATAGTGTAGGACCATACCTATATAAGGCATATTTATACTTTTTATTTTTCAAAATACCAAACAGATCATGCATTTTAGCCATTCCTCATTTCGCTCAATTTAACACTGTCTTTGCATAGGCCGATTATTTGAGAACAGCACCATCTACAGGCCTGGTATATGTA